TCCTGCACATCCTCCAGACTTGCAAGACCAAGTGTTTAGGGACTTCAGTTTTATCACAGTGAAGTTCTTGCCTCCTAACACCACTCCTTTCCTCCAGCCCATGGACCAGCAGGTCATTTCTAACTTCAAAAACTCTACACAAAAGCAGTGTTTCAAAAGTGCTTTAAAGTGACATCGGACACTTAGTTGACCCTAAGAGAGTTCTGGAGGATTCACTTCACTATCCTCCATTGCATAAGCCTTATAGGTAAGGCTTGGGAGGGAGCAACTTTCAGGACTTTGAACTCTGCTTGGAGAAAACTGTAGCTAGATTGTGTCCAAGAGAGAGATTTTGAAGGGCTTGAGGCTGACCCTGACCCTGCCAACCCTGTAGCCTCTAATGTGGCACTAGGAAAGTCCCTGGGGTTGGAGGCAAGTGGTGAGGATGTGGAAGAGTTGGTAGAGCACCACAGGGAAGAGCTAACCACTGAAGAGCTGCAAGAGCTTCCTTCAACCTGAACAGCAACAGACTGCAGCTGAGGAACTTGCTTCAGAGAAGGAGATGCCTTCTTCTGAGATTAAAGAGGTGTGTGCAGTGTGGACTAGGGTGCAAGCTTATGTAGAGAAACACCACCCTGACAAAGCTGAAACAAGCCATATCTGCAACATGTTTAGTGACAAAACCCTGTCCCACTTCAGGGAAATCTTAAAGAGATGCCAGAAACAGAGCACTTTGGACAGTTATTTTGTGAGACAGGGGTCCAGTGACTCTCAAGCTGGTCCTAGTGGCATTAAAAGACAAAGAAGGGAAGTAACCCCAGAGAAGTCTTTGCTACCTAAAGTCTTTATGGAGGGGAATTCCCCTTCCAAACACTAACTCCTCCCACTTTCCTCTTCCGTATCTTCCAGAAGCCAGCACTAGCCTTCAATAAAGGTATGTAATACTTACATAATTGTTAAAAAAAAAATTATTTTTTTGTGAATATTTTTGTCTGGAATGGATTAATTGTATTTCCATTAATTCTTATGGGAAATATTAATTCAGGTTTCGGCCATTTCGGTTATTGGCCAACCTTCTGGAACAGATTACGGCCGATAACCGGAGGGTCCACTGTATTTAAAACAATGAAATTTAGACATCCTAATTTTGTAGTTGGCAAGTGGTTGAGCAATCCTCAGCACAATATGAGTAGCTTTTGAGTAACTGGTAGGTATTAGGTATGGTTTGTCTGGTTAATTTTGGGTGATGAGGTGATTTCTTAGTAGGCCCTTAAACTGATTTGCAGACAGGGGTCCTTAAGTGTGTTCTGGCAATGAATTCCAGATCATCAGGTCCTTTACGTGTATAGCATTTTTGCATAGAGATGGACACAAGGGATATCGAAGAGTGATTTGTGTCTCACATCACGGCTGTGTTTTCTGTTATAGTTATTAGGAAGGAGTTTGAGAGGAGTGTTTATATGTGAGTACAGTGGACCCCTCAACCAATGAAGGCATCATCTAATGATAAAATCGACTAATGAAATGCTTTAGCATAAAAATTTTGGCCCAACCAACGATGAAAAACTCAATTAACATCATTCGTCCTGAACGCATCCATCTCAGCTCAGCTAGTGTGCCATTGTTAACAAGCCAGGGTGGATGGTTGCAAGCAGACATTCGATAAATTATGTATTATTCCATTGATTTTAGTGCTTGTAACTGCTAAGTAAGCCACCTGGGCCTAAAGAAAGCTTCTAGTGCCAACCCTGTGGTAAAAAGGGTGAGTAATACTATCGAAATACTATTGTACCATGGTCAGCTGCTGCTGCACCACTGTCAGCTGCTGCTGTACCATAGTCAGCTGCTGCTGCTGCTGCTGTACCATGGTCGGCTGCTGCTGTACCACGGTCAGCTGCTGCTGCTGCTGCACCACCGTCAGCTGCTGCTGCTGCACCACCGTCAGCTGCTGCTGCTGCTGCTGCACCACCGTCAGCTGCTGCTGCTGCTGCTGCACCACCGTCAGCTGCTGCTGCTGCTGCTGCACCACCGTCAGCTGCTGCTGCTGCACCACCGTCAGCTGCTGCTGCACCACCATCAGCTGCTGCTGCACCACTGTCAGCTGCTGCTGCACCACCATCAGCTGTACTACTCAAAGATATGGAGAGACTGTTGTTGGTGTGGCTTAACGAGAAACAATTACCAAGAAATAATTAACATAAGAACATAAGAAAGAAGGAACACTGCAACAGGCCTACTGACCCATGCGGAGCAGGTTAACCCCAGAGAGTTAGGCTCCCAGGATAATCAAAGAAAGTCAGTGCGTCATCGAGGACTGTAACTTATTTCCATTGGGGTCCTTAATCTTGTCCCCAGGATGCGACCCACACCAGTCGACTAACACCCAGGTGAACAATAAAAACTGCCTGGAACTATTACTTATATTGTTGAATTTAAGACCAGCAAAGGTTGGTTTGAGAGATTTAATAATCGTAGCGGCATACACAGTGTGATAAGGCATGGCGAAGCTGAAAAACTCATCCCCCAACAAGTGTTCAACTGTGACAAAACAAACCTGTTCTGGAAGAAAATGCCAAACAGGACCTACATTACTCAGGAGGAAAAGGCACTCCCAGGACACAAACTATGAAAGACAAGCTAACTCTCATGTTTTGTTGTAATGTTAGTGGGGATTGCAAAGTGAAGCCTTTACTCATGTATCACTCTGAAAATCCCAGTGTGTTCAAGAAAAACAAGTGTCTTATCACTCATCACTACATCTTCAATAAAGATAAGTGTCATTTATTCTTCATTTAGTACAGTATTTATTGTGCATGTATCCTTCTTTTTCTGTGTAGGAAAATGTATATTTCATGTGAAAAAAAAAATTTCATACTTTTGGGTGTCTGGAACAGATTAATGGATTTCCATCATTTCTTATGGGGAAAATTAATTCGACTAACAATAAATTCGTCTAATGATAAGCTCTCTGAAACGGATTAATATCATTGACTGAGGGTCCACTGTATAGTGTTCTGTGTATATAATAGGCACAATAATAAGTATGGATGTTTTGTATATTAAGCAAGTTATGACTCTTGAAAAGTGGTGGAATGTGTTGTCTAATGCAGGAGTTAGTAATCAATTGCACTGCAGCTTTTTGTTAGATTATTAAAGACTTAAGGTGATTTGCTGTGGTTGAGCCCCATGCACAAATACCACAGGTGAGGTAAGGGTAAATGAGAGAATGGTACAGAGCTAGAAGAGCTAATTGGAATATATAGTATTTTCACAGACTTTAGACTATAGTATTTTTATAGACTTTTGTAATGGTTTGCATGATTTTTGTATTGCATTTACAATAATTTTTAGTAGTATTTTTTTTTTTATATTTTTTGTAGTGTTTTTGCAGGTTTAGTAGTGTTTTTTTGCTATTGTATTTATAGTGTTTTCTAAATTTTAGTGATTTAAAGTATCTTTTAGTGTTTTTGTTGTTTTGTACTGTTTCATTGTGTTTCTTCAGTGTTTTTGCAGTTTCTATAATTATAGTTTCTAGAATAATAATAATATCTTTAATATTTACTACATGTGCAAGACATATTACACAATACACAAGGTATACAGGCCATAGCTGACATCAATGACATACTACTATATAGAAAGCCACTTGTTATGCACAGCATTTCGGGCAAATTAGGTCAGTTTTGTCCCAGGATGCGACCCACACTGGTCCACTAGCACCCGGGTATCCATTTTACTGATGGGTGAACATAGACAACTGGTGTAAGGAAACATGTCCAATGTTTCCACCCCTTTGCTGGGAATTGAACCCAGACCCTCACAGTGTGAAGCAAGAGCCTTTGTCTCCAGGCTAAGGGTACAGGCTTTGCAATGATTTTGTAGTTTGTATAGTGTTTCTGTATTGTATTTTTACTGTTTTTACAGTGCTTTTTCTGCTTTTGTAATATTCTTGTAGCATTTTTGCAGTTAACATATTGTTATTGTATTTTTGTATTTTTTTTTTGTAGTTTTGTAATATTTTTTATGGAGTTTTGTAGTATTTTTGTTGTTTTTATAATGTTTTGTCCTGATTTTAGCATTTGTATCTTTTTCTCAATTTTTATAGTGCTTTAGCAGTTTTTGTAGTGTTTTAGTATTTTTGTAGTGTTTTAGTATTTTTGTAGTGTTTTCAGTGTTTTTGTAGTTATTTAGTGTTTCTGTTGTAAGGCCACAGTGAAGTTTCTCAGATTTGTTACTGATATCAACAAATAATTCAGCCATGCCAGTTTCCCATTTTCAGAGAAAAAAAAATGTTTGCCCCAAAATAACCCAAAGGTTATTGGTGGAGTGGGAAATGGGTGAACCGTCGATCCTGATTAGAATCCCTCCACAAGGACTGTTGCATGCCATTTAAGAGAAAGATGGAGTAAGACAATTTCTGGCCATGGCCCTCATAAAAATGATTGCAGCCTTGAGGAAAATCCACTGGGACTCTTTTATGCTGACTGAGAATATGCACTGAGAAAGGTAGAGTCCCACGAGAATTAATGGAAGTTCTTACTGGCTCATCTCTCAGAGCCCTTAGTATATGATTCACAACGAAGTTTCTGAATGATACACTTACCTACATAATTTATACCTCAGGTCTTAGAACTTTCCTATCAACATTTGTCGATAGAAGATCACTTAGTTGACAAAACCACAATAAAACTGCTATTACCTACAAGGGACACACCCCTTACCCCCTTACCTTAGCCCCCATCTTTAGGAAGATGAGTTCAAAATTTTAGTCATTTTTTTTTTTAATTCAGTGCAGCTAATAACCAGAATAACTCAACAAATCTATGTAGTGTGACTCATCTCAGTTTGGGTCCTTAGTTCCTTTTTCAGGATGAGACTCTCAATAGCCAATTAACACCGATACGCCTAGTTCCTGACATGTGAACAGGTGGTTTTGTGTTCTATACTATAGAGATTTTTTGTGAACAGGGGCGTGGAAGGCGAGTTAGAGGGGTTGTGTTTGCAGACGGTTATTACACTACTTTGTAACGGAGGATTTTTATTTATTATTGAAAACTTTTATTACAGTAAACGAAGTTAAACCATTCCAATCACAGACCCGGCAACTATTATTCGACTTGTTTTATTTTTGTTAAGTGAATTTGAAGTCTAAAAGTTTTAAAGACCTTTACAATGTACAACATGACATAAAAATTTTAAATTGATTATTTGTTACACAAGTAGAACATAGTGTTACTGGATCCTAATGACGATGCCAGACTTAGACATTACTTTGTTCTCTGGAATGATATGTATCATAATGATACACACAAACAGGGTTTTGTAAATATTTCTAAATATAGATACATAAGAGGGACATATTCTACTCAAAGAAATATTATTATGCCAGCATCTGGCAGCGTTGCTTTCAGTGCTAGGCATTTTTTTTTTTTTTGGTATTCATACTATGATTTTAAAACACAGATATAACAAGAAAGTGTAGCCACATATCACCATTGGCTGGCAAAGGTAGTACTTACAGTCCTTGCTTACTTAGAAATTAACAAAATGTTGCTGCACAAAATGAAGTCGGTAGCTAGTCCTGATTGGCATGTACAAGTCATCCTGGGTCAGTCTCTTGCAAAGTATCTCGTATAGACCTATTGGTTGCACAACAGTTTACATGGCTATCTCTTATGTTCACAGCTTGAGAGGTCTGTAAGTATAAACACTGCACAAATTTCACTGTTCTTGATGGGCTACTTAATACAAATAATAACGTTCTTGTATAATACATACTGCTCCTAGAAGTTGGAAGAGGACACAGAAGCAATCATGCATAGAAGACACCCATCAACAAGGAGGAAAAGGTTTATAATAAGAATGTATTGTAGATAAATGGACTATACTGAAGCTGTACCAAACAGGGGCTGTCATCAACATCATTGCATGCTGCATCCTCTTGAGCTGGATATATATATGTCATAGCGAATAGGTAAAATTGGTCAATTAGCAAAAACTCATTTAAAATTAAGTCCTTACTAAAATTTTCTCTTATATGTTTAAAGATATATTTTTTCATTTATGTTAATGTAAAAATTACAAGTTTTACCTATTTGGCACGACACACACAAGCACATATGTATATATATGTTGTGCATATATATACATACGTACAGGTAAAAACTTGCGATTTTGGATTAAATACCAATGCTCTTCTTGCCGAATAAAGCAAGCAAAAATTTGTGTATTCAATAATTTCAAAACCATCATTTCGAAATTAACAGAAAAATATATTTTATTGTGTTTCTTTATTATTAAATTATTGTAAACTTATCTAAAATATATTTAGTTGGATTTGGCTAAATTAAATTGCACTTGTTATAATAAGGCTAGGTAAGTTTTCTAAGGTTCTTTTGGTACAAAATTATTAATTTTTACATTAACATAAATGAAAAAGACATATCTTTAAACGTATAAGAGAAAATTTTAGAAAGGACTTAATTTTAAATGAGTTCTTGCTAAGTGACCAATTTTACCTATTCAGCACGACATACATATATATCTTAGGTTGTAGGTTAGTAGACAGCCACCACCCAGAGAGGTATTACCGTTCTGCCAAGTGAGTGTGAAATGGATATTTAGCACAAGGGTTTTTTTAATATTGGAAGATTAAAGAAAAACTGGAAATAATGAAAAATATGCAAGTCTAAGAAGGTATGAAGACAGTACGGCACTACCACAATACAGTCGCCTCAAGAAACTGTTATTTTTTCTGGTTATAAACAAGAGATACAATAAGGCCTAGTGCTAAGCTTTAAATTTCATGGTTCGTGATAATGATGAACTGAAATCAATATAAAACCTGATTGTTTCTTCGTCCTAAATTTTAGCTATTAGTGAATTCTTGTTCTAGAATACTTTTGATTTTTCAGCAAGTGTTACTGTATAAATTCCTTGAAAAGCAAATTTTGCCATGTTATACATGCAACATATGATTTTAGTTTTCACGTAAATGCTAGTAAAACTGAAGTTTCAACTGCACTTAATACATCTTGACATTTTTAGTCTTTCTTGTGAAGAACTCCATAAAGTTTTATTATATAATGCTATTCGACAAGCATGAATTTAGCGCCTGGAAGGTTCTGTCTGTCTGATGCCCGGCTTCTGTGGCGATACCAGGCAGGTTAACACAAAAACGAAAATCAAGTCATTTTGGGATTAACTCACTGAATTTAGTTCAATAAGATCTGTTGCCTGAAATGCTGATTTAGGCAGATGTGTTTTGTCATTCCACAAAAAGTATACTGTTAATTTGCATTAAGAATATATCTAATTTGAAAGATTTTGTTTGGAAGCATATTATATGTGACAGCTGCATCAACATACACAGGGTCCAGTATTATCTTTTGAACTATTGGCGAGGTCACAGGGACGGACACAGAGATCTCCCAAGTCCCAAGTTCATCTTGCCCTCAAGCACAAGCTTTGTAACACAAAATATAACTGCTGAGAATACAAAGATGATCTGGTTAGCATATCATGATATTCATTTATGAAACATTCTTCTAATATTAAGATGACAGTGTAAAGGCGTGGAATGTAAAAATGTCAGTTGCCGAGATCTTTTAACTTCAATTTTCTCAGTACAAATGCTAGATATAAGCTTGGCGGAGACCTCCGAGATTGACAACAAGATGGTCAACATTATGTTCACAACCTGATATCTTGGGGTGATAAAAGTGAGACCAAGTCGGTTCCAACTAAAACTGGTTTGTTGCTGCCAGACAAAATGAACTAAAGTTATTCATTGTTGGAATAGTAAAGAGAAGAAGCTCATTTTCTTCTTCCATTGTTGCACTTAGACCAAATGAATTAAAGCTATACAGTCATTGAGTAGCAAAGAGATAAAACTACTCTTCCTTCTTCATCCCCTTCCCCCTACAACTTATTTTGCCTTAGAAAAATTTTCTCTATTTGTTTACGTTACTTAAACTTAAATCTTCTGCTTGTCCTCTTGGGCATTAGTCTTCAGCAAGCATTATGCTAGGATTACCCAGGTGTGTAAAATTATGCATTATGATATACGTATTCATAATAATCAATAATTAGGGGAACTGAAGAAAGCTTCTTACCTATGGAATTATTAATAACAGGATACAATGGCCTAGGATGATTTACTGAAGAACATCATGCATGCACACAAGCATGCATGTGCATACACACAGGCACATCCTCAGCATTTCAAGAATTTAGCCTAAATGAAAGGTTTCTTCACCTGATTTTTGACGTTTCAGAGCATAATAAAGCATTTTCTGACACATCATTTTTTAGCTAAAACGCGTAAATTATCACACTTAACCAAAACTGCTGCTATAATTGCATTTTATGGATAGAAGACAAATCATTTTATTTTATTTCAATTAGTAAACCTTAACTGTTTTTACAAGGATTTATATAAACCTTAAATTACTACCTCGTGTCTTATTACAATTTTGTTACTTCCCTCTCACACCTTAGACCAAAATTCATCTTCCTTTTCATATACTCTACTCTTCTTCATCAGCGTCTTCTCCCCTCATTTGTTAGTGGTTACTAGTTTAACTAACTAGTGGTGTTAGTGCCAAGGGTGCGGTTAACAAAGTGCCGGACTCGCAATTTCTGTAGCTTAAGTGCCTTCATGCCCATTGTTGCAATCTCCGCTAAAGGGTTGTTGGCTGCCATGCCCATCCCACTGAGGAAAGAAAGCAAGTAGTTAGTGACTTGCCTGGTGGGCACCATCCAGTGACTAATGATTCACCTAGAGGGGCAGCACCTAGTGGTGAGTGACTCACCTGGTGGATACTACCTGGTGGGTAGTGACTCACCTTGCGGATACTACCTAGTGGTTAGTGACTCACCTGGTGAATACTACCTAGTGGTTAGTGACTCACCTGGTTGACACTACCTAGTGGTTAGTGACTCACCTGGTGGATACTACCCAGTGATTAGTGACTCACCTGGTGGGTACCACCTAGAGGTAGGTGGTGGAATTTATTTTTGGTGTAAGTGGGGATGTTTATGGTTAGGCTAGGTAGAAATGGGATGTTGGTGTAAGTGGGGATTTGATTTTTATGGTGATTTGGGTTGGTATGGGGTGTTGGTTTATGTGGGTAAGGGGTATTGGTGTATGTGGGTAAGAGGTATTGGTGTATGTGGGTAAGGGATACTGGTGTTGGTGGGGAGGGTATTGTGATGGCTGGTGTTATGAGCAAATTTGCTGATGACAAAAATAAGTAGAATAATTGATTTAGACAAAGATGCCACTGTACTTCAGGAGGATTTAAACAAGCTTATGTCATAGTCAGAAAAGTAAAAAATAGAGTTCCATGTAGATAAATACAAAGCTTGGTAATGTAAATAATCCTAACACTTATAAACTAAATAATACAGAACTTTACCTTACAGAATGTGAAAAGGACTTAGAAGTTATGGTAAGAAGCAACACAAACTAGATTGCTTCAAAGGGTGTTAGTTTGATTAAAAGCAGGTTTGAAGTCTAAGGAATGGAGAGAGTTGTTAAGATTTGAGAGGTTGGAAATATAGGGAAGGCAAGGAAAAGATTTCACAGGAGTAGAGTGTTTGGGTGAGAAGAAAGTTCATTTAGCAAGAGTTTATGAAATCAGAATTGTAGCCATGGTGAAATAAAATGAATTGCGAAGAGCGGAAATTTCCGAGTCAAAGAACTGAGGGTCACAAATGCAGAGGGCATGGAGAAAGAGAGCAATAAGAATGTTTTACTTGAGAGAGGGAGCAAGGTAAGAAAAGTAGTGAATGTACATGCCACTGTACCTATGTACAGTGAAAGAAGCCTGTATCCGATCAATGGATGTGTACATCAAGAAAAGGAGGGCGAGGAGCTAGGAAGGTATGAGAGAAGTTCTCACCTTTGCATATCGTCATCTGCCCCATGCTTGGCAAGGGCGAGGAGGATCATGGTCAGTTCTTTTTTGTTGATCTTTCCATCTTTGTTGAAGTCACAGCCACGCATAATGGCATCCTGAAATTCCTGCAGGTCCAGCGCATCATAATCCTGTGAAGGAAGTCAGTTATCCCCCGGTTATAAAGCTTCATGTAGGAGCCCAGCTCCTGCATGAAGCTTTATTGTATCACAATATGATAGAACAAGTCCACTCAACTTCATTTTAACTGTTCGTCATGTTCCACCTTTAAAGTCCTGTCCATCCAAGTCATTCTAATGTCATCAAATAATAGATGGATATATTCTGTCAGGTCCGACTAACTTTAGTTTTGAAGGTTACCACATTCGACCACAACAAATACCATATCAACAACAAACACCACCACAGCAACAAATACCACCACAGCAACAAATACCACCACAGCAACAAATACCACCACAGCAACAAACACCACCACAGCAACAAATACCACCACAGCAACAAATACCACCACAGCAACAAATACCATCACAGCAACAAATACCATCACAGCAACAAATACCACCACAGCAACAAATACCACCACAGCAACAAATACCACCAACAGCAACAAATACCACCACAGCAACAAATACCACCACAGCAACAAATACCACCACAGCAACAAATACCACCACAGCAACAAATACCATCACAGCAACAAATACCACCACAGCAACAAATACCACCACAGCAACAAATACCACCACAGCAACAAATACCACCACAGCAACAAATACCACCACAGCAACAAACACCACCACAGCAACAAATACCACCACAGCAACAAATACCACCACAGCAACAAATACCATCACAGCAACAAATACCACCACAGCAACAAATACCACCACAGCAACAAATACCACCACAGCAACAAATACCATCACAGCAACAAATACCACCACAGCAACAAATACCACCACAGCAACAAATACCACCACAGCAACAAATACCACCACAGCAACAAATACCACCACAGCAACAAATACCATCACAGCAACAAATACCACCACAGCAACAAATACCACCACAGCAACAAATACCACCACAGCAACAAATACCATCACAGCAACAAATACCATCACAATAACAAATACCACCACAGCAACAAATACCATCACAGCAACAAATACCACCACAGCAACAAATACCACCACAGCAACAAATACCACCACAGCAACAAATACCACCACAGCAACAAACACCACCACAGCAACAAATACCATCACAGCAACAAATACCATCACAGCAACAAATACCATCACAGCAACAAATACCACCACAGCAACAAATACCACCACAGCAACAAATACCATCACAGCAACAAATACCATCACAGCAACAAATACCATCACAGCAACAAATACCATCACAATAACAAATACCCACCACAAAAACACATATCACCATAACTATTACTAATCACAGAAACAATTACCATCACAACAATTAATACTAACCACAACAGCAAGAGATACCCAAACTACATCTTTGTCCATCTTACCTTCTTCACTAACTCCAAAAGGTCCTTCAAGAAGCCATTCAACTCCTCATTTTCTATGGTGCCATTGTTATCCTGAAAAAACAGAATACAGACATTTAAACCATGCATATTTTATCCAAGGATGTTGTGTTTGGCAGTCTTATTACTGTCATTTTGACCATGTACTGCAGTGCTCGTCAATGTAACAAGTATGAACCTTACAACTGTGAAGGCAACATGCATAAGAGCAACATCATAGACACAACACATGCAATATATGTAAAAATCTATAAATTATTATGGTATGCACATGTTTTAAGGTGTTATCACTTTTCAGAATGTTAGTTTCTCACCCTTCCCCTTCTACCTGTTTAGAACCTTAAGTTTCTTCTTTCAACCTGCCCAAAACTACAGCTTCTTCTCAGCATGCCCACATTAATTTTCTTCTCTTCTGCTTACCCATAGCATCAGTGTCTCCTCTCTGTTCAAAACCTCTTTTTCTCTTTCTTACTTCTCTCTCTCTCCTCTCTCTCTCTCTCTCTCCTTCTCTCTCTCCTCCTCTCTCTCTCTCTTTCTCTCTCTCTTTCTTTCTCTCTCTCTTTCTCTCTATCTTTCTCTCTCTTCTTTTTTTTTTTTTTTACACAGGGTTTGACAAGGTTAAGGATCCCTAGCTTTATTGACAAGCTATTTACAGGTTAAGGATTCCTAACTTTATTGGCAAGCTAAGAGCTGTTACCTACATCAGCTCATTTGAAAGCATTTTTATTGTTATGAGACATATCAGTAGGGAACAGGAATGAAGTTGGAAGCCATCTGTGGCAGCTTTCATTGAACAACTGACTTGATCTCGTTGACATATTATGCTGTACGAGTGTGTTCCATATCGAGTATCCTGGGTAATGATCTCAGATGGAGTTGATGTTCTGGAGAAGGGTACAGCCATGAGTGAAGTTGCTGCTTTCTGCCCGTCTTGTGGCATAAAAGCTTGTTTCACGCTGTCCTCGAAGTGGATCCAAGTGTGGTATTTTGACAATATTGGCCTTGTACACAACAGTAAGGCCACCCACATCCCTCCTATGTTGAAGGCTCTGCTGAAATGACAGATCTATCCAGGATGGGTCCAGGCGAGAGATGAGACGTCTTGCTCTGTTCTCTACTCTGTCAAACAGCCGCAGATGAGAGGGGGGGGGGCAGGCAAACCAAGAAAGTGGAGCATACTCAAGGTCTCCTTTTCTCTCTCTCTCCTCTCTCTCTCTCCTCTCTCTTTTTTTTCTTTTTTTTTTTTTTTACACAGGGTTTGACAAGGTTAAGGATCCCTAGCTTTATTGACAAGCTATTTACAAGTTAAGGATTCTTAACTTTATTGGCAAGCTAAGAGCTGTTACCTACATCAGCTCATTTGAAAGCATTTTAATTGTTATGAGACATACAAGTAGGGAACAGGATGAAGTTGGAGCCATCTGTGGGCCAGCATTTTCATTTGAACAACTGACTTTATCTCGTTGACATCATTATCCTGTACGAATGTGTTCCATACTCGAGTCATCCTGGGTATATATGATCTCAGATGGAGTGATGTTCTGGAGAAGGGTACAGCCAGAGTGAAGTTGCTGCTTTCTGCCCGTCTTGTGGCATAAAAGCTTGTTTCACGCTGTCCTCGAAGTGGATCCAAGTGTGGTATTTTGACAATATTGGCCTTGTACATAACAGTAAGGCCACCCACATCCCTCCTATGTTGAAGGCTCTGCTGAAATGACAGATCTATCCAGGATGGGTCCAGGCGAGAGATGAGACGTCTTGCTCTGTTCTCTACTCTGTCAAACAGCCGCAGATGAGAGGGGGGGGCAGGCAAACCAAGAAAGTGGAGCATACTCAAGGTCTCTTCTCTCTCTTTCTCTCTCTCTCTCTCTCTCTCTTTCTCTCTCTCTCTCTCTCTCTCTCTCTTTCTCTCTCTTTTTTTCTCTCTCTTTCTGTCTCTTTTTTTCTCTCTCTCTCTTTTTTTCTCTCTCTCTCTTTCTCTCTCTTTTTTTCTCTCTCTTTCTCTCTCTTTTTTTTTCTCTCTCTCTTTTTTTTTATCTCTCTCTCTTTTTTTCTCTCTCTCTCTTTCTCTCTTTTCTCTCTCTCTCTCTCTCTCTCTTTTTTTCTTTTTCTTTTTTTTACACAGGTTTGACAAGGTTAAGGCCCTAGCTTTATTGAAAGCTTTTTTACAATTTAAAGGGACCCCTAACTTTATTGGCAAAAAGCGTTACCTACATCACCATTTAAAGCATTTTAATTTTGTTATGAGACTACAATAGGAAAAGGATGAAGTTTGGACCCATCTTGGGCCACTTTTTTCATTTGAAAAACACTATCTCGTTGACACATTAGCGTAGAATGGTTCCTACCGAGTCTCCTGGGTAGTATGATTCAGATGGGTGTGTTCTGGAGAAGGGTACAGCCAGAAGGGAAATTGTGCTTTCTGCCCGTCCCGTATAAAAGCTTGTTTCACGCTGCCTCGAAGTGGGCCAAGTGTGGTATTTTACAATATGGCCTTGTACATAACAAAAAGGCCCCCCCCCCTCCCTCCTAGTTTAAGGCTCTGCTGAAAGAC